TGTACAAAAGGTGAGGGTTGAACAATTGTGTGTTTTCATGAATACAACTGTGCGACAACAGAGAGAAATTCGCTAAAAACAAGCTACAAAGCCACAATCCGGTGTATTTACTGTTATAGTTTGTTCTGTTCCACACACAACGATACAAAATCCCAGACTAGACTGTTCAACTCTGCTTCAAATCAGGTCCAGGTCCACTCTCGGCTTCTTCCTCGTCTTCCCAAAGAGCGTTGCATGAAGACGATGGTGATATAAGTGCATGCTGTTGCTGAGAGCCGAGTCTGCAGCCGCTGAAGAACCCAGGGGCCCCAACAGCAGAGACAGTAGAAAGCTGAAGAGGTTTCGCCTGTAAATTATTAAAGGGCCTTTCATCTGAAGAAGAAGAAGCTATAACATTCCCCACGCTGGTCACAGGTCATGGAAATGCACTTTACTGTGGGCAGAAGAATGAAATGAATCTATGTGAGTCATGTAAACACGTCCATTATGAGCCGGGAGACTTTCAAACCACACAAACAATAACAAATTTGCGCACTAGTTTACACATGAGTTTAAAATGTGGTCTCGGTTTCAGTTTTTTCAGACAGAACAGTGGATCAGCTCCCAGCCCAAAGTGTCAAATAGTGACTTACAGAGCTCTTGTCCAGTGAAATCGCATGTGCAGTTTTAATGGTTTGATTCTATCTCTTTGTGTGTGTGTGTGAGTGTGTGTGTGTGTGTGTGTTTGTGTGTGTGTGTGCACAGATCTGTTTGCTCCGATATTCATATATTTGTCAAACACACAAACACTTGATAACCATACCCCTTGATGTGGTCCAGCTTCAGCCAGAACGAACCTCATGCAGCCCCCGGATAATACGAATTTGAGACCCCTGGTGTAAGCAGCAGAGGGCCACATGAAATGACACAGTGGACCTCATTTAGCTCAGGGGCCATGGTTTGGCTTTTTATTTTTGTATACAGTATTTTTGAGTTTTTGCCTTAAGAGTTAAATTGATCAAAATTGTCATAATTCAAAAGCAAGGCAACAATTATAATGCAAGGGAAAAGATGACATAAAAATACAAAAACATATATTGAATAAATAAAATAAATAAAATAAATAAAATAAATAAAATAAATAAAATAAATAAAATAAATAAAACAAAATAAAATAAATAGCAATAAAGTTACATACACAATTCAATACATCAATAAAAAGATTGAAAAAATGTATAAATAATTTCAAAATATATATGCAGAAAAATAGAGTTACAGTATAGTGTCTGCTTGTAAATTTGTTAGATCAACAAAGCTTATTGTCTGCTTTTTACGGCTCTAAAAAGACAAATATTCTGTGATTTGAGAACTTTATGCACAGGTTTGATGTGATGTAAAAGGTCATAGCTGTTGCACTTCTACATTTCTATTTGGAAACTGGAGTTGTTTTTCCACATCTACTGCTCCTTCGCTCCAAACTCGTCTTCATTTCAAAGTGCGCTGTTTTCCCCGTGTTCTCTGGAGCTTATGTTACGTGTTGTGTTGAGTGGACGAGCAACAGGAGGTCTTCGAATCAACATCTGTGTGACGTCAGGGCAGAGCTCACACCAGGTCAGTGCAGGAGAATATGGAATTATACTGTCACTTATTACTTCAGGTTTTCCCCTAAATCTCAGGTCAAACCTCAGAGAATAAAAATGAGCCTTCTTTGCTTATTTTCTCTTAAACTGTGCAGGTTAGTTTCTTTATAGTTGAACGAAAAACCTTTAAACTTTAAGAGAATGATCCACTTTTCTTTGGTTAAGTATTTAATAGAAGAAAATATTACCATGTTTGTGTTTGAACCAGATTCATTGTGTATTGTGACTTGTATTCAGAACTAAAATTATTATTAAGAGGAAGTTTGTTAAGTTACAAAATTGAGACTTAGTTGCCTCATTCTAAGTCTATCCTCTCCTCCTTCCTACTTTACCTGTTTCGCATTATTAGGATTTTGACTGTAGTTTGTTCATTGCTATTCACTCGCTGTCCCATTGTCTGTTTCATGGTACGATGACGAGACCTCTGAGCTTGGCCTCCTCCATCTGCACCTGCGGACTGCCCCGCCCGACCCGCCTGGGAGTGCTTCAGTCCTGCACCGGACCTGTCCACGTTCAGCGGCCACTGGTCCACGTTCTGTAGCTAGCTTAGGTCCTGGATCAGTAGCCTGTCCGTCCGGAGGAGCGGATCCCTTTCTAAAATTATGGGTCTCCCCGAGGTTTCTCACTTTTTCCCACTGGGTTTTCTCATGAGTTTTTCCTTGCCGATGCAGGAGGGTCTGTTGGACATTTTTGGTGATTTCAATGGTTTTTTTAAGTCTCTGAGATGATACTGCTGTGATTTAGGGCTATAAAAAAATAAATTGTAATTCTAGGCAGACGAGATCATATACAGTAAATGTTGATTCTTTGTTTTATGTACTTCATTTTTAATTTTTCTCCTATTAAGTTGTCTTCACTTTAATTGTTCTATTGCTGTCTGAAAATTATAAAAACATTTAAAAAAGATAAACATGAAAAACAGACAGGGCATAAAAACAAGATCAAGCAAGGAATAATACTCATAAAACTATAAATAAAATCCTTCAGTTTTTAACCTGATTTGAACATTGTCAGAGAAGAGGCCTGACTCACATTTGTCTGAGTTTTGTGAATCCGGTTACTTTTACCATAATTATAATTATGTAATCTCAAAATTTGAAGCCTGCACACTTCCAGAATAGTTGGTGTCTAAACACCTCCTGAAATACGTTTGGGCAAGAACAGTTTGGCAGAACCATGAGGGACAGGGTTAGACATGACCATGAAGAATTGTGATCACTTAAACTCAGAAGCTCACAATGCTCATCTACATTTATAGTCTTCAAAACTATGATATGTTTTCTGTTAATTTCGACATATTTTTTTTATTATTTATTGATTTGAATGGTAATTGTTCAAAAAGCGGCTCTGGGAGTTCTTATAGTTTCAGAATTGTGGGAGTCCAAGCGTTAAAGATTTGGAGTACACCTTACGATTTCTAATGGTAGTTAAAGTTACGCAATTTAAATGTGGAAATTTGTGTCTGCAATTTGTTTGAGTAAGGTTCACTGATCACAATTTACAGTGCATGAGTTTTACGTTCTGTTCATAAGCAGCTGTTATGCTACTGCCCCCTGCTGGACAGAGGCCAAAATACAAACTATGTAGTGATAGAACCAAACAGTTTAGAGAACGAGGAACCAATGGTAGGTTACACACGACTATGATTCTTGAGTAGAGGGAATCCAGGGTGTCGAGTCCCATTAGTGCGTCCATGGAACAGACAGAGGGACAACAGGTGAATAGCAATGAACAACAATGCACAGACTATATTCAAAACATAAAGTCAATTCCTCCTGCAGCTGTGGATGTGACAAGTTAAAAATAGACAGTTAGAAACATAAAAATATTGGTTAAGGGCATCAGGGATTGTGTGGTGAATTCAAAACAGTGCATTAAAAGGAGTGCATCCCATCGCTCATTGTAACATGGTTAAAAGTTCTTCAAAGTCTATTTACAGAATACATCTGATCAGAAAGGATGCTTTGTGTGCAGAGCGGAGCAAGAGAGATCTCAGACTGGTACAGAAGACGTCCTTCTATACTTCTAGAGCCACAAAGGACCCTCTTCAGACTGAAGCAGGGACATTTTTATTAATCCTATCTAACAATCTATCTATGTCTATATCTATCCATCTGTTTATCTATCACTCTATTGATCTTTGTGACAACATAAACATAAATGTTGTCCCAAAATTGTCTATTAATCTTTGTAACTGTCTATTTTAAACTGTTTTTAACTCGTCACATCCACAGCTGCAGAAGGAATAGGTCTCTTCTTCACTGCTAATTTCAGTTGATATTTTAAATGTAGTCTGTGCGATGTTGTTCATTGCTGTTCATCTGTTGTCCCTCCGTCTGTCCCTCTGTGTAATTACATTTGAAAGCCATAAAAGTGTGGGTGAAACTTCCACCTGTTAGAGTTAGGGTCACCAGTTACAGTAACTTGTCCAGGGTGTCGTTCATAGTTTCACACACTCTCCCAGTGCAGGAGGAGAGCACCATCTTCTTCTACACACAACAGAAAAAGAGCTAGTGTTTTCATTCTGATCCTCAAGTCCTGGTTTAGAGTCATTTCAAAACTGATTGTTATGTATTTCAACTGTTTTTGTTGATTGTTTTCACAGTGACAACTGTTTCTTGTACTTTTTAGTTTGTATAGTGAATATATTTGTCTGGCGCAAACTGGGGTACTTTTGCACGAGTATTCCAATTTGGTTTTATTGCAAATGGCAAATAAACTGAATCTGAGTTAAGAGTAAGTGTTTTTTAAACTCATTGAACGTCCTGTTTTCTTCGTATTATACAATACAATACAATTTATTCTTGTATAGCCATAAATCACAACAGAAGTCATCTCAGAGGACTTAGAAAAACCCTTGAAATCACCAACTAGATCAGAGAATCAGCAGTTAAAACACAAAAAGAATATAGAACACATGTTGATAAATGTCATACATGTTGTAGAATGTTAAAGTGTCCTGGATCATCACAGTCCTTCTAGTTGGACACTAACTGCCCAACAGACCCTCCTGCATCGGCAAGGAAAAATTCATAAGAAAATATAATAGTATTATAATTTTTAACGTTATTTATGTTAATGTGACATGTTCTACGTGATCAATTTCTGTAAACTAGGTTGTATTTTAATTTCACACACTAGGTTTAGGGTAGTCTGACTTAATCCGTGCTCATACCATTGTATATAGACTAGTCCTTTTGGCCTAAAAGTCATTTTTAACAACGCGTTTCTCACTTTTCAAACAAAAGGCTGTGAGTATCTCGTCCTTTTTGGACCTCCTGCCTTCCCGTCGACTGTAGACCATGTGACCACCTGAGTTTATAAATACAGGCTGCGCTCCGTCGTAGCCGTTTCTTTAAAGCAGAGCGACACAGGAGCAACATGGCGTCGTCAAGTCGGTACGTGCCAACATCTCTACGCTATCTCCCCCATCTTTTTACAAATCACTGAGTGTCACTGCTCGGCCCCGTTCGAGCAGTTTCTCACCTGCTCATCCCCAGTATTTTATCCCAAAAATATCCACTTTATTTTCAATTTTAGCCTCAAACTGCGTAGCGTATTGTGTGGCTAGCTAGTTAGCAGTTAGCCGGGTAGTTGTTTAGATGCGAGAATTGCCGGTGTTTATGTGTCCGTGTTTTGTTTTGTTGTTGTGTAATTTGTGTGTGTCTTTCGAAGAAATACACACTGTTAGTCAAGAGTTGTGTAGGTAAGATTTTGTGTAGATTTTTTTCTTTTTAATGCTTCAGATTCAGGAGAAAAGTTGTGTTGTTGGCAGCTCGCTTTGTCATCTGTTAGTTTGTGGCATTCGTAAACAAACAAAGCAGCTGGATGCATTCTTCATGTGTTGATGGATGTTGTTGCTTGGCTAGATATGATGCATTTATTAATCTGTCATACAGTTAATGGGCGGATTTTATACTGCAACTTGGATTTATATGTGTAATGAGTGATAATATTAATAACGCTATTTCTTGCATTGGAAAATACAATACTTCAATACTACAATTGCTTCTCTATTTTGCTAAAGTTAGAAATGGTATACTTTTTTATTATGCTTATTAAGTATTATTTTATGCTTAAGTATGCCTTAGAAATTTCATACTTAAATAAAGATTACTAAGATTACTTACGTACATTTTAGACTTGTTTCCTATCTCTTATATTTTCTCTTTCGTTTCTACTCGGCCAAACAATGACATAAACACAGTGCTTCCTTAGTAAACAAACAGCACTTCACAAGCCATTTTAATCACATTTATTTTTGTACACCCCTGAATCGCCACAGCAGACATTACAAATGTGTTGATTTGCCAACAGCAGATCAGAGAATCACAAGAAATGAAATAATAACAACCACATAGGGAGCAGGTCGACCGCTGTCAATTAATGTTCCTGAAAAGATAACAAAGTAAAGTTGTATTACGAGTGTTATCTGTGTGTTTTTACCTTTGTTTGTATCCTCTGTGTGTTTGTTCTTAATGGTTGAGTAAAGAGTGTTGTGTCGTTGCAGCGGAGACGGGCTGTCCCTCCCCAGAGTCACTTGTCCGAACCACCCTGAAGCCTGTTTAGTGGAGGACTACAGAGCGGGAGACATGATCTGCCCCGAGTGTGGGCTGGTGGTCGGTAAGTCAACGTCTTTAAGGACATTTGAGTCGGTTTTCGGTTTCCGTTTGCAGTAAAACCACATTGGATTACAAAAAGTGCAAAAGTCCCCCAGTGTGAACCAGACAGAAATATAAAATAAAACAAGCTAAAAAATGAACAGTGAAGGCGAGACACGATTGAGGAGAGGTAGGAACATGCTGCAGACTGCGGCATTTGGGCAATTTTAAGAAATTAGTTGACAGGTAAAATGAAGTGTTATATTTTAACCATCCAAAATACAAGCTATTAAATAACAGTAGTTGTATGTTTTCAGTTGATTGGATTTAAACACTGAATACGACTGAATCTGCTCAAATTATAATGATTTTTTCATAAAACAAGTTCATAAGCAGTGGTTTGGAGTCAGCCCTTGACTTTGGTGACAGTTTAGCGTTTAAACTTCGATCATAAAATGCAGTAATCTAATTTTAGAACCCTGTTTAACTCGACTCTTGTGTCAAAGGTAAAAACCTGACAAATGTAAAAGTCCTTTGTGATCGTTTCCTACGACATGAAGGTGAAGTGTTGCAGTTTTCCCAGAGCAGCAGAAGTGTGTAACGAGTCTCAGGGGTCTGATGCAACGTCAGCCTTGTCTCCCCTCCTCCTCCTCCTCCTCCTCCTTCGACCTGGACAGACACAGCACAGACAGAGATGATGAGAGAGATAACTGCATTAGCACAGGCAGCAGACACCTGCCAGAGACATTAGTATTGTGGATAATGGAGACAGAGCTCAAAGCAACGCTGCTTTTATAATGATCCACATCAGGTCTGACACATGGATGTAGTTTACTGTCAAATGATCATGTGAAAAAGACAATGATGAAGAACTGATGCAGAAGAGATGCGGGAATACTAAAAATCCGAAATGTTTTATATGTGTGTAAGAAAATGCAGGGAAATATTTGTTGCATAAAGTGCTAAAAAGGATGATGTCATAGCGGTACAACGACATCATACTACAACAGAAACCTGGATGTAGTAATGTTCTGACTGCAGGAGACAGAGTGATCGACGTCGGCTCAGAGTGGAGAACATTCTCCAATGAAAAAGCTCTGAAAGACCCGTCTCGAGTCGGAGACGCCCAGAACCCACTGCTCAACGGAGGAGACTTGACCACGATGATCAGCAAGGTCTGTGTCTGAGACTCTGCAGAGACTACTGACACTACTATTACTACTGACACTAGTGTCTGAGACTCTACTGTTACTACTGACACTACTGTTACTACTGACTCTACGGTTACTACTGACACTACTGACACTAGTGTCTGAGACTCTACTGTTACTACTGACACTACTATTACTACTGACACTAGTGTCTGAGACTCTACTGTTACTACTGACACTACTGTTACTACTGACTCTACGGTTACTACTGACACTACTGACACTAGTGTCTGAGACTCTACTGTTACTACTGACACTACTATTACTACTGACACTAGTGTCTGAGACTCTGTTACTACTGACTCTACTGTTACTACTGACTCTACTGTTACTACTGACACTAGTGTCTGAGACTCTACTGTTACTACTACCTACTGTTACTACTGACTCTACTGTTACTACTGACTCTACTGTTACTACTACTGACTCTACTGTTACTACTGACTCTAGTGTCAGCGACTCTACTGTTACTACTGACACTAGTGTCAGCGACTCTACTGTTACTACTGACACTAGTGTCAGCGACTCTACTGTTACTACTGACACTAGTGTCAGCGACTCTACTGTTACTACTGACACTAGTGTCAGCGACTCTACTGTTACTACTGACACTAGTGTCAGCGACTCTACTGTTACTACTGACACTAGTGTCAGCGACTCTACTGTTACTGACACTAGTGTCAGCGACTCTACTGTTACTGACACTAGTGTCAGCGACTCTACTGTTACTGACACTAGTGTCAGCGACTCTACTGTTACTGACACTAGTGTCAGCGACTCTACTGTTACTGACACTAGTGTCAGCGACTCTACTGTTACTGACACTAGTGTCAGCGACTCTACTGTTACTACTGACACTATGTGTCAGCGACTCTACTGTTACTGACACTAGTGTCAGCGACTCTACTGTTACTGACACTAGTGTCAGCGACTCTACTGTTACTGACACTAGTGTCAGCGACTCTGTTACTGACACTGGTGTCAGTGACTCTAGTGCAGACTCTAAAGCTCTGTGTGATGTCACAGGGAACAGGAGCCGCTAGTTTTGACGAGTTTGGGAACTCCAAATACCAAAACCGGCGGACAATGAGCAGTTCAGACCGTGCCATGCTCAACGCCTTCAAAGAGATCACCACGATGGCCGACCGCATCAACCTGCCCCGAAACATCGTGGTGAGTGAAAAAGATAAAAACATAAGAGTGAGATAATAACATGAGTGTGATGTGTGTCTCCAGGACAGAACCAACAACCTGTTCAAACAGGTTTACGAACAGAAGAGTCTGAAAGGACGAGCCAACGACGCCATCGCCTCCGCGTGTCTTTACATCGCCTGCCGTCAGGAGGGCGTGCCGCGGACGTTCAAAGGTTCCACTGGATCTGAAGCAACATATAATTAAAGTCCTCTTTAAAGTCATCATTAACTGGATTCTGTTTTTGCAGAGATCTGTGCCGTGTCCAGAATCTCCAAAAAAGAAATTGGCCGCTGCTTTAAACTGATCCTCAAAGCTCTGGAGACCAACGTGGATCTGATCACGACCGGAGACTTCATGTCGCGTTTCTGCTCCAACCTGGGGCTTCCCAAACAGGTGCAGATCGCCGCCACGTACATCGCTCGCAAAGCTGTGGAGACCGACCTGGTCCCAGGACGCAGCCCCATCTCTGTGGCAGCTGCCGCCATCTACATGGCCTCGCAGGCGTCCGCCGAGAAGAAGACCCAGAAAGGTGAGAGCGAGATCTGAGACCGGAAATATCAGGTCAGGACTGGAGTCGGTCTAACATGAGTCCAGGATCTCTGCTCCTGGACAGTTTTTACCTCATATTAGACCAATGTTTCATGCTACAGTAGTTCTCTTTCCCCATTTTGATTTGTAGAAAGTAAAGATTTCTGATGTTGCTTTAGCGCCAATTAGAACAAACTCTTACAGCAGACTCCTGATGTGATCCTGTTTGGAGCCTCACAAACTCTAACCTCAAACTTGCTTTGACTTCAAGATTTTTATGACTAAGTAACTTCTACAGTTCAACCTCGAAGAGAGCGTCTCGTTTAACTAAAAAACAGATTGGCTACAGTTAGATTCCTGTTTTATTTGCAAACTGTCAAAGTGTAGTGGCACAAAACATTAAAACAGAGATTATTAAATGTTTCTAAATCCTCTGGAGAAACTGGACAGTGGGACTGTTCTGTAACGACTGCAGAAGGAAATGTGAACGTGTTAACTGTATTTTTAACCAAACTCGGACATTCTCAGGGGCCTCACTGGAGATTTGTTTTTCACTTCAAAAAAATCCAATGATCCAAGATCTAGAAACGAATTGCTGAATGAACAGAAGGATCTGATGTTTGTGTTTGTGTGGTCAGAGATCGGAGACATTGCTGGAGTCGCAGACGTCACCATCCGACAGTCGTACCGCCTCATCTACCCTCGCGCCGCAGAACTCTTCCCTCCAGACTTTAAGTTCGACACTCCGGTGGAGAAGCTGCCACAGCTGTGATGTCACCGCTCGGAGGAGGCTGTAGGGGGCGCTCACATTCCGCTGCCACAGACTGTTGTGTACATACGTCACATGGAACTCTCATTTTGTAGGAAACCACCTGCTTTTTGTTTGGATTCTTAAAGTTATTTAAAGAAATAAAAGTTTTCCTTAAAGTCAATTATCTGGTTTCATTGGTCAAAAACATCTTACAGTTGATTTTTCAGAACGTCTTTAAACTTTGATCCATTACGTTGTTCCTCATTGAAACAATCCTTTAGCCCCGCCCCTTCTCAGTCCTGTACAGTATGTCATTGTGACGTCACTCAGTTCAAGCCTTTATCAATTGACTTTATCGTTCTACACTTCCCTCTAGTGTCCGAAAAAGGAGCCACAGAACTAACTTTCTAAAACATGAGAGTGTAGATTATTTTAATGTTTTTTCTTTAAAGCAGAACTTCATCAGGTCTGAGCTGACAGTTACAAACAGGAGATGAAAAAATGTCCAAATGTAGAACCAGTGAAGCTGCTTTTTGGAACAACTCTCCAAAACGAAAATGAAAACTGCCTTTGTCAAACTGTTTATTTTACTTCCTGATCATTTTGAGTGAAAAAAATGTACACGCCACAGGTTTATATTTCTCAGATAATCCTCAAATCACCCAAACCACCGTCTCCACAAACCTGCTCCTGAAAGGTTCATCCTCCAGCTCGATGCTCCACACATCATCATCATCACGGCCAATACCCCCAACTGGGACTGAGGAGCACAGGGACTGGCCTCCTGCTGGGACTGAGGAGCACAGGGACTGGCCTCCTGCTGGGACTGAGGAGCACAGGGACTGGCCTCCTGCTGGTCCCACTTTGTGAAACAGGCCAAAGCCATGTTTAAGTCCAGGCTGAAATCAAACTTAGTTGTGCTTTTACGTTTTAAATGTTTAACTTTTACACTGAATGTTTAAAAAATCTTTTCATATTGTTCTGTTTTTATATTTTGTGAAGAACTTTTGAGTTACACTGTAAGGACTGTGCTTTAAAAATAAATGATTGACCAGAGCAGCCTCTCTTCACACCGAGCCCAGGACCATAGACTTATTTTTTTATATTCAATTTCTGAAAACACAGAATTTGTATTTGGCATTATTTACTAAACTTCTGGTTTGGTTCGCCGTTTTGGCGTTTCATGTTGATGGTCCTGGGAGTTGAGAACCACAGATTTATTGAAACTGAAACGAGACTAAACTCTTCAGTGACAGGAGCAGTCTGCAGAAAACTTACAATTATCTGAATCCAATATTTTGTCCCGAAGGAATCCACGGCATCACAAGTTTCAAAAGTAGTTTCATTTTTCTGATTTGATGGAAAATGACCAGATGAGTCCAGACCAGGACCGAGTGCAGTTAGACCTACATGGTCCAAGTCAGAAGTGTCACTCATTTTGGTCAGGGCCAAATTTAAAATACTAAAGAACTGGTTTGGGGCCAGATGCATAAAAGTGATGTTTTTCTTTTACATATTTTTGATAAAGATTGTACGAGTTTGGATTGAACCACAACTGGGCAAAATATCAATAATAGATGTATTGGAAGATTGATATTTAGATGTAAAAGAATAAATAAGTAACTATACCTTATAATTAAAATGCATTCAATTATGTGGTTGTTTGCCTGCACATTTAAAATTAAGTATAACAAGCCATCGTTGCTGTGATAATTCAAAACCATTTCAGGGGCCACTAAACATTGTGTCACGGCCCGGATTTGGCCCACGGGCCTGAGTTTGCCTAGTCGAAGTCTCTAGTCTTACATGAGGTAAAGTTTGATGCCCATAAAACAAACATTCCAAGTATGAGTATTATCTAACAAGTTTCAACAGTTGTCATCTGAAGCAGGTTCAGGTTAAAACCACATGAAGCCCGATAGTGAAGTGCTCATGGATGAAGTTTTGCTCCTTCTCTTCTGTGACTCTTGACGTAATCGTTAAACAGATAGAAAGTAGATTATTCTTTTGATTTCAGTAAAGCTCAGACCAAGTTTTAAGACCCAAGTTTGCAGAAACAGCGAGTAACTGCAAACTTTGACATAAAATTTGTCTTTAAAAAAAATCTGGGACAGTCTTCCTGAAATTGTGAGACAGGTTTTTACTCTGACAATGTTCAAATCCAGGTTAAAAACAGTTCTGTTCATCTGTAAAACTGAGGGATTGTATATTTAATCTTTTAATGTACTGTGATTATGTATTTGAATGCCTGTTTTTTTTTTTTTTATCTCGTTTGAAATGCCTTGGGTGTGAACTGTGCTATACAAAAAAACCTGACACTGCTGCGAGATATAGTCACAAACAACTGGAGAATTATTCAAAAAGACTTTTATATTGAAGCGATGGAAGACGTCGGAGAAGTCTGTCTGACGCGACTCTCCCGGGCGCCAGATACAATTTTTTGGCTCCTTTTTTTTTGTTTTTCCCGTAAAGTTGTAAAATACATACATACACTTTGTACAGACAGTGACGTGATGCAGCGTTACCGTTTTTAAAAGTTCATCCGGAACATTCGCAGTGGTCAGACACTTTAAAACTGTTCTTCATTGTGGTAAAAAAACAAAAAAAAGTCTAAATCCAAGGGCTGGTCTCCCATGGGCTCTTTTGATCAGTCCCAAGCCCAGAGTTTCTCAGAGTTTCTCCGCGTTCACAGTGCGTCCATCGTAGATTCATCTGCTGCAAAATGTCCTCTGGGAACTTCCGGTTACTTCCGTCCAATGTAAATATAACAGTGTTTTTATTGTTTAATTATGATTGGTTCAGAATATGGGAAATCTCTCTTCACACTGTAAAAAAATATGAAATGCGAGGATCGAGAGAATTAAGTGTTTTCTTTTATCTTAATTTGAGATTTGAAAAATAAGTCAAAAATGTCTCAAATTTGGCAAAAATTTATCTTGATTTGATCAGATTCTGACTGAGCCTTAAAACAAGATTTTCCAACGGGACAAAGCCATTCAGTCTTCTTTAGTTCTTAATTTCCTCATTCCAAGTTAAACTTTTCTTGTATATTTTTCAAACAATATCATTTTGCTTTGACTTATTGGGAAATTCTGGTTTTAAAGCAGTCAAAAAGTGCTTAAATTTAGATGCATTTTGCTAAATATGATACATTTTGACTTATTGCTCATCACTTTTTGCAGTGTATATTTGTTGGTGCTAAAGTTTTGGCTCGAATCAGAATCCAGGCAGAGAAGAACAGGACAAAATTCTGGTATTTCTTTTTGGAGTTTTTACCCACGTTACAACATTGTTCTCACATCAAAGACACACCTCTCCGTGCTAATGTTAGCAACTTATGGCACACATTGATGTAAACAAACAACTGTATCATTTTCATATGAAGAACTATCAAATTAGTTCATGGAATCTTGTGTTTTTTTTTATAACAAAAGTCCACGCTCCAATCAAAAACCACACAATCTTAACTTTCTTCAACCATTACAAAAATATAAAGCATTATTTTTGGCCACTAAAATGATAATGAGACTTTTTTTCTGTCATTTCATGTTTCAGGATGTGAATTAATGTCTTAAGTCGATAATATTTGGAGAAACAAATCTCACGGGTAAATAAGGCTTTCCTCCTGCATTTCCCGAAGCTGCCACCAGAGGGAAGTATTGGGAAAAATGTGCCCTAAGTTGCGACTCCGCTGCTCGTTCGCCGTTTAACCGATCTCGATTCTGAAGCTAGCTTTAGATGCTACGTGTGTTTAGACGACGTGGAGAAATTTTGAACCGTATTTGAGAGTTTTTTAACGATTTTGTCACAGTGGTACGACGACGTCATACCGGACTGGGACAGGAGCTTTTAGACAGAAGGGGTGGGGCTACATATTGTTGATACTGGCATGGATTGATCTAAAAAGAAGGTCTATTTGACATGAACAACGTCGTAGCGATTTAGCCGGAAAAAAACCGTTCCCGTATCTTTGAGAATCATGATCAAACAAAACACTTTTTACACTTGACGAAGAGTTTTCCGGAAGTGTCCCGAGGTCACGTGGTATCGACATGGTCCGTTCCCATTGGGCGGATGCTAACACCAGTCCGCAATGTAGTCGAAGTTGTTGAACATGTCCTGCTCGGCGCCGGAAAGGGGGCGGGGCTCTCGCGGCGGCGTCAGGATCGGCGCCTCTGACGTGAACTCGTCGTCGAAGTTGCTGACGTCGCTGTCGCCCTGGATCGTCGGCACGAACGGAGGCTTCACCTTCTTCGCCAAGAGGCCGTTCCAGTCCACGTTCTGGGGGAGAAGAAGAAGAAGAAGAAGAGATTCGTTTGCAATAAAACCACATTGGAATACACGCGCAGGAGTCCCCAGTGTGCACCAGACAAGTACAGGAGTAAAGCTCTCTGATCACTCTCTGGGCTCTCTCCCTCGCTCCACTCTCTGGGGTCTCGCACTCTCTGGTCTCTCTCGCACTCTCTGGTGTCTCTCTCTCTGGTCTCGCACTCTCTGGTCTCTGCACTCTCTGGTCTCGCACTCTCTGGTTCTCTCTCTCTCACTCTCTGGTCTCCTCTCTCTCTCTGGTCTCTCTCTGGTCTCTCGCACTCTCTGGTCTCGCACTCTCTGGTCTCGCACTCTCTGGTCTCTCTCTCTGGTCTCACTCTCTCTGGTCTCTTCTCTCTCTGGTCTCTCTCTCTCTCCTGGTCTCGCACTCTCTCTGGTCTCTCGCACTCTCTGGTCTCTCTCGCCTCTCTGGTCTCTCTCTCTCTCTCTGGTCTCGACTCTCTCTCTGGTCTCTCTCTCTGCTCTCTCTCTCTCTGGTCTCTCACTCTCTGGTCTCGCTCTCTCTGGTCTCTCGCACTCTCTGGTCTCTCTCTCTCTCTCTGGTCTCGCACTCTCTCTGGTCTCGCACTCTCTGGTCTCTCTCTCTCTGGTCTCGCACTCTCTGGTCTCGCACTCTCTGGTCTCGCACTCTCTGGTCTCTCTCACTCTCTGGGTCTCTCTCTGGTCTCGCCTCTCTGGTCTCTCTCTCTCTGGTCTCGCACTCTCTCTGGTCTCGCACTCTCTGGTCTGCTCTCTCTGGTCTCTCTCTCTCTGGCACTCTCTGGTCTCTCACTCTCTGGTCTCGCACTCTCTGGTCTCTCTCTCTCTGGTCTCTCTCTCTGGTCCAAACTAAAAACAGTATTTCTTCCTCACCCTGAAGAACAGATGCTCCTTCACCTCCTCTGCGTCTCGTTCTCCGGCTCCGAGTCGTCGCTCTGGACTCCTCCTCAGCAGCTGCACAGAACAGAGAGAGTCAGAGGATCACAGGGACCTCCTGCTACTCCTCCCTCCTCCTCTTCTTCCTCATCCCCCTCTACTACTACTTCTTCCCCCTCCTCCTCCTCTTCTTCCACTCATACTCCTCCTCCTACTCCCCCATCCCCCTTCTCCTCATACTCCCCATCCCCCTTCTCCTCATACTCCGCATCCCCCTCCTCCTTCTCCTCATACTCCCACTCCCCCTCCACCTCCTCCCCATCCCCCTCAGTCTCCTCATACTCCCCCTCCTTCTCCTCATACTCCTCCTCATACTCCCCATCCCCCTTCTCCTCCTCCTCCTCTTCAGCTCCCCCTCCTCCTCCTCCTCCTCTTCCTCACTCACCCTCCTCATGATGGAGATGGCCTCTGTGGACAGAAAGCGTGGATACCGGACCTCGTCATTCACGATGCTGTCGAACACCTCCTCTTCGTCGTCTCCGGGAAACGGCGACTGAGAAACAAACAAACATCAGACTCCAGGACGATGAAGATCAAAAAGTGAAGAATAAAGGTTTCGGGATGTTTGATCGACTTTAAAGCAGTTGGTAAACAGTTTGAGACGACTGATTCTCTGATTTGTGTTGGCGAATCAACAACTTTGTAAAGTGTTCAGAGACGACAGCTGTGATTTAGGTGTAAACAAAAAAAATATGGAATTATGCGTTGTCCTGTTTTTGGCAATGTTTGTGATATTTTCTTGTTTAAGTGTGTGGAAACCTTTACTGATCTGTACCCTTGTTTTCGTATCTGTGATAATTATCTATTGATATGTTCTGTGTTTATTATTGAAAATCTCTAACGTTTAGAGAAAAAAACCAAACCTGGCCCAGGACACATTTCTCAAAGTGGAGACCGGGAAAAATAAATGTAAATTCTCTGCTGCTAATGTAAAACACCAAATATCTGTAAATGCCTCATGACAAATATGTATCCAGTGTAAACTCCACAAGTGACTTATCCTTGAATAAAGTGGAATTATAGCTCCGGAGTTTATTATATTATCTTAAATAATCCTCTTTGAGATGTGCATAACTGTTCTTTTTCTGTTCTGCTGTGAAGGGGGCAACTATGACACTGAGGGAGAGACTAAGGTGCACTTTATTGATCCCCGTAGGACACTTCATCCTCTGCATTTGACCCATCCTGATGCCACTAAGGCTTACGTCAGGAGAAGTGGTCGCCGTAGTAACAGCGCCCGGGAACCCATCTCCAGATGTTAATGCTCGGCTTCGTCAGGACCGGAGCTGGAGGATGTAACCTAGTGTGCATGTTGGGGAAACACAGAAAGACCCCGTTCCGACCAGGATTCTAACTCAGGACCTTCTTGCGGAGAGGCGAGAGTGCTATCCACTCAGCGACCGTGCCGAAACTATGTTATAAAGGCCCCATCGTACCTCTCCCACCAGCATCTCGAATATGAGCACGCCGAGCCCCCACCAGTCCACCGCCCTCGTGTACGACGTCTCGGTCAGGACTTCAGGCGCCAAGAACTCGGGCGTCCCACAGAAGGTGCTGGTGCGGTCTCTGAAGCCCATTCCTGACAACAACAAACCAAACTGTGTCAGTGACGAGAGACAGACGATAAACCACAGATTTACACATGAATGAGTGGTTTTAACCCTCTCCAGGCAGACGTTGCAGATTTACAACAACTTCATTTCTTATTGCCCAGCTCTATATTTTTGACCCTTTTTTACTCAGAAGTACCACTGCTGGACTTGAGCTTCAGCAACACACAGTTTTTCCCCCGCTCACCAGGGGGCGGAGCTGTCTCACTTCCAAAACGTCAGTCTCCATGGTTTCAAACGGATAAATTGCAATGTCAGTATCTCTACCAACCTCTAATAATTTGGAACCAAAACTGCATAAAATAAAACATGAATATAGAAACAGTACATGCCAATTAGTAGATTCTATCTCCTCTGGGTTTTTCCCCACAGCTCTTTTTACCACAGTGGGCCAATGTTGCAAATCTGCAACATCTCAGAATGCATTGCCTGCGAAGGTTTCGCTAAAAAAACCTCAGAATTGTATAACTGTAGCCCATATGATAATTTTCCCCAAATAGCAAACATTTCCTGTCTTTTATAGTAGGCTCTGAAACAGTTGTTGTTTGGAGTTTTACAATCGTTATTTTTCTTGCTTTTTTTCTATCCGTAAATGACACTGCAGTACAGCGTTCATAGTCTTACACCGATCCAGACCAGAGCAGAGAGAGAAGAGTCATTTTCAGCTCATTCACTTTAGTCATTTAATATTCACAATGAAATAAGCGTTACCTTCTTTACAAAGTCCAAAGTCTGCGATCTTCACGTAGCCCTCTGTGTCCAGCAGCAGGTTGTCCAGCTTCAGGTCTCTGAAATCACACAACAGTCCTCATACAGCTGCTAGTTTCATTATTTTTACAATTTACTAATTTCTCTATACGCTGCAAAATAAAATAAAAATAATAAAATATGAGGAAATAATGATACCCATAGACCGTATATTAGGAGTGGACTGAGTGTGACGTCGCCGCTGTCTTAGCTGTGGGCAGTAACAGAGGCAGATGTGTTGCTAAGACAGTTGCTAAGGCAGACTGGAGTTTCCCCTGCGACTGTAGGTATCTGTTTGGTCTATCCGTATTTATATATATTTATTAGTGTGACACAAACAGTCAAAGAGCGAGGTGAGTTCACTTTTGAATCTAAGTCAATAAGAGCCAGAACTTTAGACTTGCTCCAGGCTGCAAACAGGGAGGACCAGATCGGACTCTACCATCACCCTGGACATGTACACACACGGGATGGTATTTACCTAAACTAAACATCCTAGACTCTCCAGGGTGATTGCTCGTTTTACAAATTAAAATTCCAGACTTTTAAAAAAACTGATATATATTTATCCCCAAGACTTCAGCAGTGACATCACGAAAATCAAAAAAGCGTTGATTGGATATCATCCCATTAGGCCAGTCATTCCCAAAGTCAGTAAAAATCTGACGGGTCTGCGCGGCCCCCAAACATAATAACCAAGAAGCCAACGCTAAAAATAGGCTCTTCTCGTTATTTTATTTGGGGGAAATAGCCTCTGCTACAAACATTATTACACACCCCATTTTGTAATACACAAATTTATTGAACATACAATAATTTTATATGTTTTTTTTATTTTTATGACCTCTTGTGGCCCCCTGACCCCACTTTGGGACACACTAATTAGGCTAATACAGTACATGACCAGTTAGTAAAATAATAGTTTTATAGCCTACCTCCCTATTTGTCAGTTCACAATGCCTTTGAGCAAACTAACATTCTACCATACATTTTTGTCAACGTCCAAGTCACACAGCACGGCTGGTGCTGTGTGACTTGGGTGGCATCTCTGACCGCCACCCCCCCCTGACCCAGAAATGGATTAAGGGGTAGAAAATGGATGGATGGACATTTTTGTCCATACTTTATTAAGACTTTCACACAAAATTCAAGACTTTTCAAGGTCTGGAAAACAGTGTTTCAAAATTCCATACTTATCAAGACCTTTAAGACCTTGACTCTGAATCTTATACATCCTCATTTACCATACATGAGCATTTGTGTAAGTAATGAGTAAGTAATCTTTATTCATATAGCGCCTTTCACAGACCAGACTCACAAAACACTTTACTCTAGTGAGCATTAGTCCTATTGTACATGGTTTTAGTGGTAGGGGAAACCGGAGCACCTAGAGGAAACCTATGCAGACATGGAGAGAACATGCAAACTCCACCCAGAAAGGTCCTGTTCTGACCAGGATTCAAACCTTCTTTGAGAATCAAACAGTTCAAGCACAAGAAAGGCAATGATGAAGAACACATAGAGCCATTGGTCCATAATAATAATTATAACTATTCCCTTTTGGGCTTTTGTATTTTCTGTGCTTCTCTTTCTGTATGATTGGTTTTGTATCTTCTCGATGCCCAAATAAACACACAACACTGCATAGTTACCTGTAGACAATTTTGTGGTCGTGTAAGAACTGCAGCCCCAAAACCACACAGGCCGCGTAGAATCTGTGGAGGAAGAAGACACAACATCACCACATGGTCCTCCTACGTGGTCCTCCTACGTGGTCCTCCTACGTGGTCCTCCTACGTGGTCCTCCTACATGGTCCTCCTACATGGTCCTTCTACATGGTCCTTCTACGTGGTCCTTCTACATGGTCCTCCTACGTGGTCCTCCTACATGGTCCTCCTACATGGTCCTTCTACATGGTCCTTCTACATGGTCCTTCTACATGGTCCTTCTACATGGTCCTTCTACATGGTCCTTTCTACGTGGTCCTTCTACATGGTCCTCCTACGTGGTCCTTCTACGTGGTCCTCCTACATAGTCCTCCTACATGGTCCTTCTACATGGTCCTTCTACATGGTCCTTCTACATGGTCCTCCTACATGGTCCTTCTACGTGGTCCTTCTACATGGTCCTCCTACGTGGTCCTTCTATGTGGTCCTCCTACATGGTCCTCCTACATGGTCCTCCTACATGGTCCTTCTACATGGTCCTTCTACGTGGTCCTTCTACGTGGTCCTTCTACGTGGTCCTTCTACGTGGTCCTTCTACGTGGTCCTCCTACGTGGTCCTTCTACGTGGTCCTCCTACATGGTCCTCCTACATGGTCCTTCTACATGGTCCTCCTACATGGTCCTTCTACATGGTCCTTCTACATGGTCCTTCTACATGGTCCTTCTACGTGGTCCTCCTACGTGGTCCTTCTACGTGGTCCTCCTACATGGTCCTCCTACATGGTCCTTCTACATGGTCCTCCTACATGGTCCTTCTACATGGTCTTTCTACATGGTCCTTCTACATGGTCCTTCTACATGGTCCTTCTACGTGGTCCTTCTACGTGGTCCTTCTACGTGGTCCTCCTACGTGGTCCTCCTACGTGGTCCTCCTACATGGTCCTTCTACATGGTCCTCCTACATGGTCCTTCTACATGGTCCTTCTACATGGTCCTCCTACGTGGTCCTTCTACGTGGTCCTTCTACGTGGTCCTTCTACGTGGTCCTTCTACGTGGTCCTTCTACGTGGTCCTCCTACGCGGTCCTCCTACGCGGTCCTCCTACGCGGTCCTCCTACGTGGTCCTCCTACGTGGTCCTCCTACATGGTCCTCCTACATGGTCCTCCTACATGGTCCTCCTACATGGTCCTTCTACATGGTTCCCTGCCTTTAATCATCTATAGGTATTGTAGTGATTTCATAACACTTTTAAGCAACTGTGGTTAAAGTTCAAACTCTTCATTCTTCATTTGCACGAGACAGTACTTTTCCCTTGTGGGCCAAATCCAGAGTGGGCGAGACCATTTTTAGTGGCCCCTGAAATTATTTGCAATTATCACTATTAGAGTAACTTGGGAACACTATGGAACACTATGGAACACTATGGAACACTATGGAACACTATGGAACACTATGGAACACTATGGAACACTATGGAACACTATGGAACACTATGGAACACTACTATGGAACACTACTATGGAACACTATGGAACACTATGGAACACTATGGAACACTATGGAACACTATGGAACACTATGGAACGCTATGGAACGCTATGGAACGCTATGGAACGCTATGGAACGCTATGGAACACTACTATGGAACACTACTATGGAACACTACTATGGAACGCTACTATGGAACACTACTATGGAACACTACTATGGAACACTACTATGGAACACTACTATGGAACACTACTATGGAACACTACTATGGAACACTACTATGGAACACTACTATGGAACACTACTATGGAACACTACTATGGAACACTACTATGGAACACTATGGAACACTATGGAACACTGGAACACTATGGAACGCTATGGAACACTACTATGGAACACTACTATGGAACGCTACTATGGAACACTACTATGGAACACTACTATGGAACACTACTATGGAACACTATGGAACGCTATGGAACACTACTATGGAACACTACTATGGAACACTATGGAACGCTATGGAACACTACTATGGAACACTACTATGGAACACTACTATGGAACACTATGGAACACTATGGAACACTATGGAACACTATGGAACACTATGGAACACTATGGAACGCTATGGAACGCTATGGAACGCTATGGAACACTACTATGGAACACTACTATGGAACACTACTATGGAACACTATGGAACACTATGGAACACTATGGAACACTATGGAACACTACTATGGAACACTATGGAACACTACTATGGAACACTATGGAACACTGGAACACTATGGAACGCTATGGAACACTACTATGGAACACTACTATGGAACGCTACTATGGAACACTACTATGGAACACTACTATGGAACACTACTATGGAACACTATGGAACGCTATGGAAACACTATGGAACACTATGGAACACTATGGAACACTATGGAACACTACTATGGAACACTATGGAACACTACTATGGAACACTATGGAACACTATGGAACACTATGGAACACTACTATGGAACACTATGGAATACTGTGGAATGTTGAACTTTATAGTAAAGCTTATTTTCACAGAAAGCAACTGTATAAATGAGGATGTTCTAAAATGTTCACTAACATGTAATTATGAGTTAAGTTAGGCCCAGATAAAATCCAAACTCACAAAAATATGTCAAATAAAATGAATGATTCTGTATAAACTGTGTTATAGAAATACATTATTGTTGATTGATGGATGTATTATTGAAGCTGAAACCATTTAATAACTATGGTCAAAAACTAAAACAAAACAACGGTTAAACTCGGTCCCTCGGTGGCGTCACTCACACGGCCCGCGGCTCGGAGAAGACGTCGGCGTGGATGTGCATCATGAGGTCCCCCCCCGCCGCGTACTCCATCACGAAACACACGTGCTCCGCCGTCTGGAAACACGCAAACAGGTTCACCAGGAACGGGTGCCGCACGCTGTTCACCGTCTCGAAGATCCGCTTCTCGCACATCAGGCTGCGGGGAAGACGGGGAAACGTCAGAGGTCGGAAACTGCAAAGGACTGAGGCGAAATTATATTATATCATATGTTTGTTTTATTTTGGTCAAATCCACAAAGTTCAATCAATCGTTTACGCCCCTTCACCTTCTTCCTGTTTCTCCTGAGTGCACCTGAGTTATTGGATTTTCTAAAACTTAAAATGGCTGAACAGAAAATGCCATTTTCACGTTTGCCGCCCACTCTCCCTGTTGTGCCGAAAAAAAGAAAATTCTGGATGTTTGGTTTGGTGGAGAGGGAGGGGAGGGGAGGGGGGAGTGGTTTCCAGTTGGTGCTACGGCTAAGCTAACAACATCGCTAACTGCACCTTTAATCAATCAATCCAAAAGGACGGACCTCCCACTTCATTCTGCGGCTTACATTAACGATCTCCAGCTTTTTTAGTGCCACAGACCGCTTTAATGTCAGACAATAACTGCACGGACCGACACCGAATGAGTTTTGATGTTCGGTTAGCTTACTGTGGAGGTCTGCATGTAGCATTAGCCTAGCTCCAAAGGTTTGCTTGCTGATAAACTGTTATTTCTATCAGCTTTTGGCCTCGGCTCAGTCTCGGCCCGACTTGAAAAGTACTAGATTATTATTTTTATTATTATTTGTTTACTGGTATAGATTTATTTTCTTATGTGAACTAGAATATTTTATTTGTTTGAGGACATTACAGACAGAGTTACAAGAAACGTTGGTTTGAACTAACACTAATACAACAACTGATTATATTCTTATGTCAACAAAAATGATAAAATATATATAAATAAAATATGTCAGCAACAAGTTAAAGAATAGGACCATTAAAAAACGTATTACAACAAGAGAAAATAAGTTTATACAGTTTGCTCTAATGGCACTGACCTGTCCACTTCATCTCTGGCCACAATGTCTCCTTTCTTCAGTGCTTTGATGGCGAACATCTCCCCAGTGGCTTTGTACTCCGCTAACAGAACCTGCAACACACACACACACACACACACAGAGACAAACAGACACAGACACACACAGACAGACAGACAGACAGAGACAGACACACACACACAGACAGACACAGACAGAGAGACAGACACACACACACACACAGACAGACACACACACAGACACACACAGACACACACACAGACACAGACACACACAGACATACACAGACACACATACACAGACATAGACAGACACACACAGACAGATATACACACACACACACACACACAGACATACACAGACACAGACACACACACACACACACAGACAGACATACACAGACACACACACAGACAGATATACACAGACACACACACAGACACACACACACACAGACACACACACACACAGACACACACACACACAGACACACACACAGACACAGACACACACACACACACACACAGACAGACATACACAGACACACACACAGACAGATATACACAGACACACACACACAGACACACACACACACAGACACACACACACACAGACACACACACACACAGACACAGACACACACACAGACATGAGAGAAAAGCTTAGTGTATCCTGAGTTCCTTCTGCAGCGAGACACAAACCTTCCCAAAGTGCCCACGTCCCAGGACCGCCACACACTTGAAGTCCTGTAGACTGAAGTGGAACTGCTCCTCTTCCCTGCGCACAAACACACAAAAATGTCATTTATCATCATTTATGCCAAATTTTGAGATTTTATACTTCTTTAGTATGTTGAAGATGGAGATTTTATACTTGTTTCTTTGATTCTAGAGTCAGAGATTGTATTTCATTTGAATTAGTATAAAGTTATTGTTCATTTATCTTGTGCTGTGTGCTCCTTAGTCTTACTGTTCTGTAACTTTTGATGCAACACTGAAGTTTCCCCGCTGTGGGACTAATAAAGCATCTCTTAATCTACAATATCGTTGATTCTTCGCCTTGAGCTGCTTGTTAGACTGAAGCAAACACTACCCTCTATATCAGGACGTTCCCACCTTTTCCCCACATTCTCAAGACAACATTTATTTTTTGTTTATTGGAACAGAATTAAATCCTGCTCAACAGGAGTGGGCTGAAAAATGCAGTCCAACTTTTTATAATTTATCTATAATATTAGTTCAATTTAATTAATTTTTTTCTTGTGTTTTTCATCATGTCCTCTGAGATTACCACTGTTGTGATTTAGGGTTATACTAAAATAGATTAAATTGATTTGACTCCTGTTCTGTCTTTCAGCCGTAAAGTTCTTACGGTGTATAAATGTGCAAGTGACCAAAAGTGACCTAATCCATTCATGTCTTGTTGTTTTGCAATTTTATTTATACATTATTTTGAAATGAGAGTGTTTTGTTTTGAAAGGCACTACCGCGACTCACCGCTAGATGGCAGCATTTCCTCGGCTGCTCGTCTCCACACTGACCTCGACACCTAGACGCGTGACTGGTGCCAGAAGCTGAGGTTTTATCTCAAAGATTTCACTATCAGTGTTCGGCAAGGACGACCGATTATCCCAGACACAGTGGCTTCACGCTTTCTCCCCAAACTCATCTCATTACTGACGATTTTAATACTTGCTGCTGCTATTGTTGTGGCTTTAAAATCTCAGTTTCTGGGCTTCGACGGTGGTTATTAACTCTTCGTGACCCTGGTGTATTCCCTTTGCTATAATATGAGTGTCATAATTACAGACCAAGAGGAAACAATTAAAAATACTTTAAAATCTCTGTATCTGTGCATGGAGTCTATTATTATGCTAAAGATAGAAACTTTATACTTCTTATTTTAGCTTTAGTCCAGCTTTGATTCAATCCAAACAAGAATCTCAAGCTAAAGACAACTAAAACATAACACTTTGATAAAATAATAATTTCCTCAAAGTACTTCCTGTATTGAACAAGGTTAAGGATTCAAAATATTCAAGATTCCCTCTTCTGGAAATATTTTTCTTCATATACACATATTTTTGTGTATATTTTATCTTAAGTAGCTCACACTCAGATAAGTTACACAGATACCTCGATGTGCCCCCAATAGAGACTATTTGCCCCCTGGTCTGCGGCCCCTGGTCCCACCTGATCTCCTGGTTCTTCTGGAGGCCACCGCGCTGAAAGTCCTGGTCCTGGTCCAGGTTGAGGTCCAGGTCGGGCTTCACGGCGATACTGTTCCTCTTGTTCAGGAAGTCGAACGAGGCGAGCGCGTCCTGCAACGACAGAAGAAGTAAAGGGTTGGTTTCCATGGAGACGAGTCAGATGGTTTTGCTCCATTAGTAAGTAAGTAATTTTGATTTATATAGCGCCTTTCACAGACCAGAGTCACAAAGCGGTTTACAATTGTGGGAATTTGTCTCTGACTCCACACAGAGATGGGAGCGGGGCCAGTACAGGAGGCGCATGCCAGATCTATTGTACATGTTTTTAGTGGTAGGGGAAACCGGAGCACCCGGAGGAAACCTACGCAGACACGGGGAGAACATGCAAACTCCCCTCAGAAAGGCCCTGTTCCGACCGGGATCCGAACCCAGGACCTTCTTGCTGAGAAGAGAGAGTGCTAACCACTCAGCCATATATCATTACAGATATGTTGTAAAAGCTACATGTTATAAAAGATCACAAACTACATTATTATTAATCTGTGTGTGTGTGTAGATGTGTGTGCGCGTGTATAAATGTGTGTCTGGTTGTGCGTGTGTGTGTGTGTCTGGTTGTGCGTGTGTGTCTGGTTGTGCGCATGTGTGTGTCTGGTTGTGCGTGTGTGTGTGTGTGTGTGTGTGTGTCTGGTTGTGCGCATGTGTGTGTGTGTAGTCCCCATCTCTTACTGGAACTGTGTCTAGTTTACTCTGCTGCCGTCTGTGCTTACACTCTGTCTCACACGTGTTGTAAACAGTGGTACCTGCACCTCCTCTTTGTCAGGCCCCGTGCTGCGGCTGTGCTCCGCTCGCTCCTCCTCCTCCTCCTCCTCCTCCTCCTCGGGGCTCGGGAGGCGGTGGCGCTGGGGCCTCGGACTCGGCTCTTTGTCGAAGTCCAGTTTGGTCACCAGCGGGTCACTGCGGCGGGAACACAACAGTTTTCACATCTGTCTCTGGCCTCAGTCACTGCTTTACTGCTTTGCAAACATTACTTCCACACTCCTCATAGGCAAAGTGGGTTAAGTGTCTTGCCCAAGGACACAATGACAGCAGACATCAGTGGAGTCAGTCTCGCCAATGCCCTACCAGCTGAACCACTTCTAGTCTCAGCTCACAGGGCGGAGGCGGAATCCAACCCAGGACCTTCTTGCTGGTCCTGGGTTCGATCATCAGAAATGCAAAGTACCACAGTAATTTCACATAGTAATGACACGTGCAGCGCAAAAAATACATGATAAAGACACGCACCAGCCCATTTCTGTTGGATAAATAAGGAAGACAGATAAGGTAATATTAGGGCTGTGACGATCATGAGCATGTATTTCGATTCAATTCTGCAATATATTGAGATTCAGGTCCCTCATATTATTCAAAGGCATTAAAAACATGGAAGAAAATCAGACTCAGCTCAAATGTCACGTTGATTATGGTTTGCACATGAACTGAACCGCTAAAAACGTAGGAAGGAAGTAGAAAAACGTTATCCTTGAACATTCAGGATACAGGACCCCATTACCGGACAAGATAAGGCGACCTCTTGCATTACATTATTTACATTATTCAAATACAGACTATAGTCACAAAAAGCATCATAGAGTGACATAAACCTCAGAGAAAACACAAACGTGAAACAGATAATTGTTTAATGAATTATCTCAATACTGCATCGATTTAATTATGTGCCCAAAATATCGTGATACTGAACTCAAATAGTGTTTTTTCCCAGCGCTGGTAAATCCTATGTGTCGAGCGTACCTGCAGGGCGTGGGTGAGCCGGGCAGACTGCTGTGGCCGCTCTCCGCTGCCTGAGGACTGAAGGAGTTGGTGCTGACGGTGGGGATGGCTCTGCGCACCAGCCGGCCCCATGTGGCAATGTTGATGTTCATCTGAGGAGCACGCAGGAACGTCTTCCCTAAACGCGCAAGACAAAACAACTGTTCCTCCCATTGGGGTTCAATAATGTTGTTGGGGAAAAAGCAGGACCGAAAGGACACAGACCTTGCTGCTTGGAGAAAATCTTCTTCTGTCTCTGCAGCTTCGTCCGCCTCTCGATGACGGGATTGAAAAAGGTCACCTAAGAGAGAATAGTGAAATTATAAATAACAATAGAAAAAAGAAAACGTGTGAATTTCAGCCGGTTAAGTGATAGTCTGGGACTCTAAATTAATTATAAATATTGTCTGGCCTTAAATGTTGATATAAAATAAGCCATTTTATGAATTCTAATATTACTTGAAGTCCCGCCTTCCCTGCTCTTAGCTATAGCTAGAAATCCACGATCCTGTCCACGTTAACCAATCAAGTAACCCTAACCCAACCTAACCTGATGATTGACCAAGGGCTGTCAATCATCGGCGCTGATGCTCGTAGCTGCTCATGCTCAGTTGTTTGTTTTCACGGAGCCTCCGAATCAAGCCTCCATTAGACTCTGAACCCCATATCCATAATCATTTATATACTGAACCTATATCCATAATCATTTATATGCTGAACCTATATCCATAATCATTTATATACTGAACCTATATCCATAATCATTTATATACTGAACCTATATCCATAATCATTTATATACTGAACCTATATCCATAATCATTTATATACTGAAATACTGAGCAGATGAGTCCTATAATGTGCAGTTCATGAGAATAGCTACTTCCGGGTTTGCCGCGATTGCTTTTTTTGTGCATTAAAACATTATTTTTGTCATGAAAACGTGAACTGATAATTCTGAAAGCCTCTGTGCATGTGTATTAATAATGTATATGTATAATGTGTTCTCTCATTAACATTTAAATGGGTTGAATTATTGTTACGGAAACTTAGGCGTAGACCAATCAGAAAGGAAGGGGGAGGAGCTTGGGTCGTTTTTTTCAAATCATGTACCTCTATCTCTTTTTTTTTTTAACAGTTTTTATTTAATTTTAATTGTGTGATTAATTATTACTAATCATTTCTATGCCCACTTACTAGCTTGAAATAAAAATACAAATACATTTAAAAACTGTTTGATTCTCTGATCTGTGTTGGCGAATTCAACGTTCAATTTTGTTAAGTCCTCTGAGATAAAAGCCCACATTGAAATGAATTAAAATGAAGCAAAAAGATCTTACTCCAATCACCTGCAAAAAGAAAGTATTTGGATCGTAGGATACACGCTTCTCGTCTCTGCTTCTGTTACTGCTTTTTTACAGTGTATAGAACTATTGAACACAGTAGAAAAGACTTCAATTGTGTAAAAAGGCGAATATTGTTTATGTTTTCATTCAGGTCAGTTTGATGCTTTTGAAAAGTCACACACAGTGGGAAAAACTACAGCTACAATGTTTGGGCTGGAGATAGTTGGGATTCCTGATGGATGTAGTAATCAGACTGCTTTTGTTTTCCTGCTGTAACTATACGTACACAGGGCGCACAGCTGATTTTAGATACGTTCCCGTGGTAGAAACCTGGAGCAGCACAAGCAGGCTGACGCTGACTCTCATTAATTGCGTGATAATACCATTGACGCCATTCAAATGGGTTTGCGTTGACGCCGTTGTTATGGTGTGTAACTGACAGCGGTTGTTGGTGTGTACCTCTGCAAACAGCATGCCCTGTGGCTCCAGGTAAAGGCACATCCCATGGCGCTGATTGTCCAAGAAATCCTCCAACCGCAGGAACTTGAGAGCACAGAGCGACCGCCAGTCCCTCCAGTACACCGAGATCTCCAACTCCCGGGACTACACACAAAACACACGCGCACACACACACACACACAAAACACATATGGTTGAACTTGGACTAACACATTTTTCAAAGATCTTCTTATACCATTTATAAGAAACCGAGACTCGACTGGTGCTACACTACTATGATTATTTACAAAAAACACAAAAACACTTGCAAATCTGAGAAAAAATAAACCGCAATTAAAGCTCGAGAATCTAAAGAAACAGCCCTCACTCAGCTCTCATTATGTAAAAGATCAAATATTTTCCGTTAATAAAAACATGTGGTCTGATTTGTTAAAAAACTCAAAATACACAGATGAAACAAAAAGTAGGGTACTCCAGCGAACCTTGCCATTTAAACGCAATATATTGTTAGTTTAGACCCTGCGCATGAAATAGAACTGGTGGTGTGAGAGTTCATCTTAAAAAAAACGCATGAAATAAGAAAAATCTTTACCCGGTCCAGTTCTAGCGTGAACTTCTGGTCCCAAGCCTGGTTACTGACCGGCTTCCAGCTCGTCTGACCCACCACCGTGTTGTCCAGCTTCAGCACTGCACTGATCTCATCTGGAAGAAAGACATTATATACATTAGAAATATACACATAACACACAAGGGTCTCTTGAGAAGCGTGCGGTCTGAACACGGCAACACTATCAAAACACACTGTTTTGTTGGTTTTGGGCAGTGTTTCCCAACCAGGGGTACGCTAAGATACGCAAGGGTACACAGAGGGGAAAGATCAGGTACGGGTGTAGTTTGGAGACTTACTGGATCATGTACGGGTGTAGTTTGGAGACTTACTGGATCATGTACGGGTGTAGTTTGGAGACTTGCTGGATCATGTACGGGTGTAGTTTGGAGACTTACTGGATCATGTACGGGTGTAGTTTGGAGACTTACTGGATCATGTACGGGTGTAGTTTGGAGACTTGCTGGATCATGTACGGTGTGTTTGGAGACTTGCTGGATCATGTACGGGTGTAGTTTGGAGACTTGCTGGATCATGTACGGGTGTAGTTTGGAGACTTGCTGGATCATGTACGGGTGTAGTTTGGAGACTTGCTGGATCATGTACGGGTGTAGTTTGGAGACTTGCTGGATCATGTACGGTGTAGTTTGGAGACTTGCTGGATCATGTACGGGTGTAGTTGGAGACTTCTGATCATGTACGGTGTAGTTTGGAGACTTGCTGGATCATGTACGGGTGTAGTTTGGAGACTTACTGGATCATGTACGGGTGTAGTTTGGAGACTTACTGGATCATGTACGGGTGTAGTTTGGAGACTTGCTGGATCATGTACGGGTGTAGTTTGGAGACTTGCTGGATCATGTACGGGTGTAGTTTGGAGACTTGCTGGATCATGTACGGGTGTAGTTTGGAGACTTACTGGATCATGTACGGGTGTAGTTTGGAGACTTGCTGGATCATGTACGGGTGTAGTTTGGAGACTTGCTGGATCATGTACGGGTGTAGTTTGGAGACTTACTGGATCATGTACGGGTGTAGTTTGGAGACTTACTGGATCATGTACGGGTGTAGTTTGGAGACTTGCTGGATCATGTACGGGTGTAGTTTGGAGACTTGCTGGATCATGTACGGGTGTAGTTTGGAGACTTGCTGGATCATGTACGGGTGTAGTTTGGAGACTTACTGGATCATGTACGGGTGTAGTTTGGAGACTTACTGGATCATGTACGGGTGTAGTTTGGAGACTTACTGGATCATGTACGGGTGTAGTTTGGAGACTTACTGGATCATGTACGGGTGTAGTTTGGAGACTTACTGGATCATGTACGGGTGTAGTTTGGAGACTTACTGGATCATGTACGGGTGTAGTTTGGAGACTTACTGGATCATGTACGGGTGTAGTTTGGAGACTTACTGATTCATGTACGGGTGTAGTTTGGAGACTTACTGGATCATGTACGGGTGTAGTTTGGAGACTTACTAGATCATGTACGGGTGTAGTTTGGAGAATTACTGGATCATGTACGGGTGTAGTTTGGAGACTTACTGGATCATGTACGGGTGTAGTTTGGAGACTTACTGGATCATGTACGGGTGTAGTTTGGAGACTTGCTGGATCATGTACGGGTGTAGTTTGGAGACTTGCTGGATCATGTACGGGTGTAGTTTGGAGACTTACTGGATCATGTACGGGTGTAGTTTGGAGACTTACTGGATCATGTACGGGTGTAGTTTGGAGACTTACTGGATCATGTACGGGTGTAGTTTGGAGACTTACTGGACAGCTCGTCGCTCTTGGTCAGGTTTCGGGAGCTGACGCTGCGGGTGCGGTTGGCTCGGCTGATGAAGGAGGAGCGGGTCTCACTCGGGCTCCAGCCGGGCAGAGGGACTGAGGCTGCCTTGGACCGGCCCGGGACATTCTCTAGCAGGTCCTGGCAGCCCATGAGCCTCACGTCCAGTGTGCCTGTGGAGGGAAACAGTCACTGTGGTGTGTTGTGGCATCAGCCCATAAAAATATCCATACATTGACACAAAAAGTAAAAAAATATTCATAATAATACAAATTGGTTGTGTTTTCATTGTGATTAATCCCCCAGCCCCAATACACGAATGTGGCGTCATTGGTGACCGTGTGTGTACCTGTGAGCGCGGCGGGCGTGGTGACCAGGTGTGTGTGTGTGTACCAATGAGTGCGGCGGGCTTGGTGACCGTGTGTGTGTACCTGTGAGCGCGGCGGGCTTGGTGACTGTGTACTATGAGTGCGGCGGGCGACTGTACCTGTGAGTGCGGCGGACGACTGTGTACCTGTGAGTGCGGCGGGCTTGGTGACTGTGTACCTGTGTAGGGTGAGAAAATGTCGATATCACACATAACTTAAGTTATGTACCTGATATCGGAGAATTGGATCAAAAACAACCATGTAATAAATACAATAATTGATAATAGCTTTATTTAGGGGCACCAGGGAATAACTCCCAACTGATAACGTGCATATGACGTCACAATATCAATTAATTGGCTCATTTATTGATTAAGTAATCTCATGAGTCCTTTCATTATTTAATTAGCTAGTTAGTCCAATTCTCTTCAATAGAATCTGAAGGTAGTGAATTCTTTTACAAATCAGTGACCCAATTTCTGGAGTCAAAAGTACAAATATCACTTTCAGACAAACATGGTTTTGTAGATTTAATGAAGTATACACCAGCCATTCCCAAACTCAGTAACACCGAGGCCCCCTTAAAAATCTGACGGGTCTGCGTGGCCCCCCAAAATAATAACCAAGAAGACAACATTAAGAATAGGCTCTTCTGGTTATTTTATTTTGGGGAAATAGCCTCTGCTACAAACATTGTAATACAAAAATGATTACAGTGGATTATTCAAGTCAAATAATGAATACAAATATTTTAATATTACAAGCAAAACATTATAAATTTAACATTAAATAATTATATTATTTTTTTATTTTTTTTATGACCTCCTGCGGCCCCCCTGCAGTACCCTCGCAGCCCACCAGGGGGCCGCGGACCCCACTTTGGGAGACACTGGTATACACAATACAGACTAGATATGAATTATGCAAATTGTCAAGAATAACATGAAGGAAACGTTGATTTCAAGATACATTGTTAAAATGCTAGGCTAAAGTGAGCTAAGCAAGACCTTTGTCTATGAATGGATTGGTATAGCCTGAGGCCTGCATGTGTTCAGCCTTGGTAAGAGAAGTATTCTTTGAAGTGTAGGTTTTAATAAAGCCAACAACTGTGTGTAGCAAGAGAGCAGATCATACAACCAGAATAGCCTTTGGTGAATAGCAGTCCTTGGGTCTTGATGGCGTTGGATGGAGGCTTCTTGTCCCCAGGGCCTGGACCATGCGGCTGCATCATGTGCTCCTCCCACGATCCACAGTCTAGGTGCCAAAACTCAGCAACTTCTTCAGGTTGAAGCTGGAGGCTATTGAAGGGTTGTGGAAGTCCTCTCAACGTGGAGCTGAGGTTTGAGGCCATCTAAGAGGCCCAAGGCCCCTTGGTTGCCTGAGCAGAGCCCAGGGCAGAGCCCAGGGAGGTCTCGTCACTCCGTGGTTCCAAAGCAGACTGGTTTGTCTTCCCTTGTTGTAGAGTCGTTGGGGGAAGGGTGTTGCCATGGCACTTATCTTAAGACATTCTTGCACACAATAAAACCTGAACCACAAGGATTTACACACAGTGGAGACGGAAGTTATAATATGTCTCAATATACAACAAAATGTCTTTGATTGAGGAAAGAGGTCATTTTAATTTATCCTACAACCCCCCCCTTTGTGTGCAGCTCCGCAAACAAAGCGAGAGGTTGACACAACACAATTTTGATTATGACCGATGACGAACGTTCACTGTCCAAGTTCTTTACGGGGCAGAGCTCTCAGCAGGAAGTAGAGCTCTCAGTAGGAGGCGGAGTTCTCAGCAGGAAGCAGAGCTCTCAGTAGGAGGCGTTCTCAGCAGGAAGCAGAGCTCTCAGTAGGAGGCGAAGTTCTGCTGTAATAGAGCTCTATTGCTCATGTCACAGAGTTGGCTTTTAGTTTGTCCTAACTGTGTTTGAGACAATGTCAGGAGTTTTATAGCTAAGTCTGTGTGTATGCTCTATCTAGAGTTCACTGGAGTGGTTTTATTCAGATTAACTGGTAAGAATATTTGTCTGAGCTTTTCCATTCTTTGATGGAGATAGCTAAGGCTATGGTAATAGCTGGAGGCAAAGATGCTTGTATTAGCTAATGCTAGGCTAGTAGCTGGAAGCTAATATCTGTAGCTATATGCTGTTATAATTGACAATAGAGAATGTATAAAATTTAATCTTCAAACAATTTGGAGTGTTGTTGAGGGAGGATACTTTCACTGAGACAATTCAACGTGGAGCCAAGTCTTACTGGCTTGATTTTGCCGCAATAATGACTCGTATTTGAGCATAGATTTTCCTAGAAAAGTGACTTTGAATCTCAGATATTCTTCTATGTTTGCTCTTTTGGTAGAGCGAAAGTATAAGCAAATACGCGCAACTGGAAATTATTAACCAGTGGTGGCTCGTTTTACAACTTGGTTTGACGATTTACATGCTGGACTTACTTGCAGCGATTTTTGCTTAACCGTGCTTGTGTGGGTAGCTAATCTCACATACAGGTCTTTTGCTAAAGGTTAACGGAGAGTCGCGTTAGACCTAGCTTAAAGATCGTGGGGGGTGTTGATCGGGCCCTGGACATCGCAGGTTGCCACTTACATTTACACCGAGACCCCTTTGATCGAGGGTTTACACGCTGGGGCGTACTCGCAGCGATTTACGTAAATCATGCCTGTGTGGATAGCTAGTCCCACTTCAGGATCTTTTGCTAATGGCTAACGGAACGTCGCGTTTAGTCATAGCTTTGAGATCAGGCGGTGTATTGAACGCCCCTGGAAAGTCGCAGGTGGTCATGTTCATTTACACTTGATGCCTCTTGGTTTTAAGCTTTACACGCTGGAAATCACTCGCAACCATTACGTCTTGAACTAAGTAAAGGAATAGCGCGTGAATTTGCAGGTGTGGTTTTTGGAGATGTTGTTCGAGCACAAAGCCATTAATGACTCCGTAAACTCTGCTGTCATCTCTAACCCTTCTTGACCTTCCAGGAGGTGCTGTGTGAGGGACATCTGATGAGTGTCTGTGGGGAGGGGCCGTGGACCCCCCTTCCCCCTCTCACAGCCTGCAGATGAAGTGCTCTGATTGGCCAGATGCGTTTGGCTCTTGGTACAGGGGTGTGACATTCTGCAGCAAGAGGAAGAGCCATCTTTGATTTGAAAGTCATTTGAATTTGGAGAATCGCAGCATTTAACTTTTAAGTTTTAACTTTAGTGCGCTGGTAATGCGTTGGAGTTGTATGCATGTTTATGCTATACAAGAATAGATACTGTGAGTTTAGATTGGATTGCTCCGGTGAAGTACCTCAGTTTTCTTCGCAACAACAGTTTACAACAAGTTTGTCACATTGAATTTGTATGATTTAATTTCCAGAAATTAAGTTTGTTTTGCCCTCACACAGGGCACCATAATATGTAGGGTGAGAAAATGTCGATATCACACATAACTTAAGTTATGTACCTGATATCGGAGAATTGGATCAAAAACAACCATGTAATAAATACAATAATTGATAATAGCTTTATTTAGGGGCACCAGGGAATAACTCCCAACTGATAACGTGCATATGACGTCACAATATCAATTAATTGGCTCATTTATTGATTAAGTAATCTCATGAGTCCTTTCATTATTTAATTAGCTAGTTAGTCCAATTCTCTTCAATAGAATCTGAAGGTAGTGAATTCTTTTACAAATCAGTGACCCAATTTCTGGAGTTAAAAGTACAAATATCACTTTCAGACAAACATGGTTTTGTAGATTTAATGAAGTATACACAATACAGACTAGATATGAATTATGCAAATTGTCAAGAATAACATGAAGGAAACGTTGATTTCAAGATACATTGTTAAAATGCTAGGCTAAAGTGAGCTAAGCAAGACCTTTGTCTATGAATGGATTGGTATAGGCTGAGGCCTGCATGTGTTCAGCCTTGGTAAGAGAAGTATTCTTTGAAGTGTAGGTTTTAATAAAGCCAACAACTGTGTGTAGCAAGAGAGCAGATCATACAACCAGAATAGCCTTTGGTGAATAGCAGTCCTTGGGTCTTGATGGCGTTGGATGGAGGCTTCTTGTCCCCAGGGCCTGGACCATGCGGCTGCATCATGTGGCTGAACCAAGTCCTCCCACGATCCACAGTCTAGGTGCCAAAACTCAGCAACTTCTTCAGGTTGAAGCTGGAGGCTATTGAAGGGTTGTGGAAGTCCTCTCAAACGTGGAGCTGAGGTTTGAGGCCATCTAAGAGGCCCAAGGCCCCTTGGTTGCCTAAGCAGAGCCCAGGGCAGAGCCCAGGGAGGTCTCGTCACTCCGTGGTTCCAAAGCAGACTGGTTTGTCTTCCCTTGTTGTAGAGTCGTTGGGGGAAGGGTGTTGCCATGGCACTTATCTTAAGACATTCTTGCCCACAATAAAACCTGAACCACAAGGATTTACACACAGTGGAGACGGAAGTTATAATATGTCTCAATATACAACAAAATGTCTTTGATTGAGGAAAGAGGTCATTTTAATTTATCCTACACACCCCCCCCCCCCCCCCCCCCCTTTGTGTGCAGCTCCGCAAACAAAGCGAAAGGTTGACACAACACAATTTTGATTATGACCGATGACGATCGTTCACTGTCCAAGTTCTTTACGGGGCAGAGCTCTCAGCAGGAAGTAGAGCTCTCAGTAGGAGGTGGAGTTCTCAGCAGGAAGCAGAGCTCTCAGTAGGAGGCGGAGTTCTCAGCAGGAAGCAGAGCTCTCAGTAGGAGGCGGAGTTCTCAGCAGGAAGCAGAGCTCTCAGTAGGAGGC